CTTGGGTACAGGAACAATGGTGGCCATCTTGAAGCATGTGGGAACAGCAGACTGGGAAGGGAGAGATTGAATATGTCCGTAAACACACCAGCCAGCTGGTCTGCGCATGCTCTGAGGACGCGGCTAGGGATGCTGTCTGGGCCGGCAGCCTTGCGGGGGTTAACATGCTTAAATGTCTTAATCACGTCGGCCACGGAGAAGGAGAGGCCACAGCCCTTGGTAGTGGGCCTCGTCGGTGGCACTGTGTTATCCTCAAAGCGGGCGAACAAGGTGTTTAGCTTGTCTGGAAGCGAGACGTCGGTGTCGGTGACGTGGCTGGTTTTCCTTTTGTAGTCCATGATTGTCTGTATACCCTGCCACATACATCTCGTGTCTCTATACTGATGTTTTGCCAGTTTAATTGCCTTGCTGAGTGAGTAGCTACACTGTTTGTATTCTGCCATATTCCCAGTCACCTTTCCATGGTTAAATGCGGTGGTTTTTGCTTTCAGTTTTGCGCGAATGCTGCTTATATCTATCCATGGTTTCTGGTTAGGGTAGGTTTTAATAGTCACAGTGGGCACAACATCACCTATACACTTCCTGATAAACTCAGTCACCGTTTTCAGTGTATTCTATAATAATAATAATAATAATATGCCATTTAGCAGACGCTTTTATCCAAAGCGACTTACAGTCATGCGTGCATACATTTTTTATGTATGGGTGGTCCCGGGGATCGAACCCACTACCTTGGCGTTACAAGCACCGTGCTCTACCAGCTGAGTTACAGTCGTCCAAATTATTTTCGCAAGCTACCTGGAACATATCCCAGTCCGCGTGATGAAAACAATCTTGAAGCGTGGATTCCGATTGGTCAGACCAGCGTTGAATAGTCCTTAGTACGGGTACTTCCTGTTTGCGTTTCTGCCTATAGGAAGGGAGGAGCAAAATGGAGTCGTGGTCAGATTTGCCGAAAGGAGGGCGGGGGAGGGCCTTATAACCATCCCGGAAGTTCGAATAGCAATGGTTTAGCAGTGCAAGTACAACAGTCGATATGTTGATAGAACTTCGGCAGCCTAGTCCTCAAATTTGCTTTGTTAAATAATAAATTCAGCCTCAGGATATGTGATTCCCAGTTTGCATAAAGTCCAGTGAAGTTCTTTTAGGGCCGTCGTGGTATCGGATTGAGGGGGGATATACACGGCCGTGACTATAACCAAATACAATTATCTTGGAAGATAATACGGTCGGCATTTGATTGTGAGGTATTCTAGGTCGGTGAACAAAAGGACTCGAGTTCCTGTATGTTACTACAATTACACCATGAGTTGTTAATCATGAAACACACACCTCTGCCCTTCTGCTTCCCGGAGAGATATTTATTCCTGTCTGCGCGATGAACTGAGAACCCATCTGGCTGGACCGATTTCGACAGAATATCCTAAAAGAGCCATGTTTCCGTGAAACAAAGTATGTTACAGGCCTTGATGTCTCTCTGGAAAGAAATCCTTGCCCGGAGCTCGTCGACCTTGTTAACCAGAGACTGAACATTAGCGAGTAGTATACTTGGAAGCGGTGGGTGGTGTGCGCCAGGCCGCTCCGAGTGCCTCTCCTCCGCCGGCAATGATTTGGGTCAGCCGCTGGAATCAGTTCAGTTGCCCTGGGGAGAGCAAACAAAGGATCTGCTTCGGGAAAGTCGTATTTGTGGTCGTAATGCTGGTGAGTTACCGCCGCTCTGATATCCAATAGTTTTCCCCGGCTGTATGTAATGATGCAAAACACTTTCTGAGCTAATAATGTAAAAAATAATACATAAAAAAACAAAATACTGCAAAGTTTCCTAAGAGCTAGTCGCGAGGCCGCCAAATCCTCTAGCTTCGCCTCTTCATCTCTGGCGCCCGACACCGACGGAGCTCTCAATCAAACAGGTATTGTAATTTGTGAAAGATGTAAAATAAAGCACATTATTTAATAAACAAATGAAATAGTCCTTAAGTCTGTATTGTCGTTAACAGCACAAACAAATGGTGCACTCAGTTTAATGTAATAGCAGTAATGGAGTTTATAGAAATGGAAATGTTTGTACTTGGCGCGCATAGGGAATGGAGAATGGTGGTTCAATGTGACGAGAGTGCCGAAGAGAGCTCGCCACAGTAGAATAACATTTATGGATCAAGGACTACCCTGTCCACTGCCAGATGGATATTTCATGTAATTGGACCTACTGTATGGCTCTATTAACACACCTAGAGAAATGAAGCAGCTATAAGCTTTACAAAAAATGACTCCCAAGGAGTCCTACTTCATTTATACAAGTCTTCTTCAGCCCAGCAGCACCCACTAACAAGTAATGTGCTTTTGACTTTACAGAGACCACTCACTGTAACTCGCTCTGTATTAAAGTGTGTGCTAAATGAGCAAAATCTAATTATAAACTGGGTGGTTCGAGCCCTGAATGCTGATTGGCTGAAAGCCGTGGTACAGTTCATTCAGAAAGTACTCAGTCTGACTTTTTCCACATTTTGTTACGTTAAACCTTATTCTAAAATGGTTTAAATCGTTTTTTTCCCTCATCAATGTACACACAATACCCAATAAAAACAGGAATATCACATTTACATAAGTATTCAGACCCTTTACTCAGTACGTTGTTGAAGCACCTTTGGCAGCGATTACAGCCTCGAGTCTTCTTGGGTATGACGCTACAAGCTTGGCACACCTGTATTTGGGGAGTTTCTCCCATTCTTCTGTGCAGATCCTCTCAAGCTCTGTCAGGTTGGATGGGGAGCATCGCTGCACAGCTATTTTCTGGTCTCTTCAGAGATGTTCGATCGGGTTCAAGTTCGGGCTCTGGCTGGGCCACTCAAGGACATTCAGAGACTTGTCCCGAAGCCACTCCTGCGTTGTCTTGGCTGTGTGCTTAGGGTCATTGTCCTGTTGGATGGTGAACCGTCAACACAGTCTGAGGTTGTGAGCACTCTGGAGCAGGTTATCATCAAGAATCTCTCAGTACTTTGCTCCGTTCATCTTTCCCTCGATCCTGACACGTCTCCCAGTCCCTGCTGCTGAAAAACATCCCCACAGCATGATGCTGCCACCACCATGCTTCACCGTAGGGACAGTGCCAGGTTTCCTCCAGAAGTGACGCTTGGCATTCAGGCCAAAGAGTTCAATCTTGGTTTCATCAGACCAGAGAATCTTGTTTCTCATGGTCTGAGAGTCTTTAGGTGCCTTTTGGCAAACTCCAAGCGGGCTGTCATGTGCCTTTTACTGAGGAGTGGCTTCCGTCTGGCCACTCTACCATAAAGGCCTGATTGGAGGAGTGCTGCAGAGATGGTTGTCCTTCTAGAAGGTTATCCCATCTCCACTGAGGAACTCTGGAGCTCTGTCAGATTGGCCATCGGATTCTTGGTCACCTCCCTGACCAAGGCCCTTCTCCCCCGATTGCTAAGTTTGTCCGGGCGGCCAGCTATAGGAAGAGTCTTGGTGGTTCCAAACTTCTTCCATTTAAGAATGATGGAGGCCACTGTGTTCTTGGGGACCTTCAATGCTGCAGACATTTTTTGGTACCCTTCCCCAGATCTGTGCCTCGACACAATCCTGTCTTGGAGCTCTACGGACAATTTCTTCGACCTCATGGCTTGGTTTTTGCTTTGACTTGCACTGTCAACTGTGGGACCTTTATATAGACAGGTGTCTGCCTTTCCAAATCATGTCCAATCAATTGAATTTACCACAGGTGGACTCCAATCAAGTTGTAGAAACATATCAAGGATGATCAATGGAAACAGGATGCGCCTGAGCTCAATTTCGAGTCTCATAGCAAAGGGTCTGAATACTTATGTAAATAAGGTATCTGTTTTTTTTTTTTCATAAATTTGCAAACATTTCTAAAAACCTGTTTTCGCTTAGTCATTATGGGGTATTGTGTGTAGATTGTTCAGGAAAAAAATGAATTTAATCCATTCTAGAACAAGGCTGTAATGTAAAAATTTTTGGAAAAGGTCAAGGGTTCGGAATACTTTCTGAACGCGCTGTATATCAGACCGTATACAAAACATGTATTTCTACTGCTCTAATTACCTCAGTAACCAGTTCATAATAGCAATAAGGCATCTTTGGGCTCTGTCGTAGCCGGCCGCGACCGGGAGACCCATGGGGCGGCGCACAATTGGCCCAGCGTCGTCCAGGGTAGGGGAGGGAATGGCCGGCAGGGATGTAGCTCAGTTGGTAGAGCATGGCGTTTCCAACGCCAGGGTTGTGGGTTCGATTCCCACGGGGGGCCAGTATGAAAAATTAAATAATGTATGCACTCACTAACTGTAAGTCGCTCTGGATAAGAGCGTCTGCTAAAATGACAAAAAATTTAAAAATTTAAAATATTGCCAATATACCACGGCTAAGGGCTGTTTCCAGGCACTCCGCGTTGTGTTGTAAATAAAAACAGCCCTTAGCCGTGGTATATTGGCCATATACCACACCCCCTCGGGCCTTATTGCTTAAATATACATATAGATATACTCTGCATCCTACTACTTGAAGCTAAGCAGGGTTGGTCCTGGATGGGAGACCAGATGCTGTTGGAGGGCCAGTAGGAGGCACTCTGTCCTCTGGTCTAAAAACATATCCCAATGCCCCAGGGGGCAGTGATTTGGGACATTGCCCTGTGTAGGGTGTCGTCTTTCAGATGGGATGTTAAACGGGTGTCCTGACTCTCTGTGGTCACTAAAGATCCCATGCCACTTATCGTTGGAGTAGCGGTGTTAACTCCGGTGTCCTGGCTAAATTCCCAATCTGGCCCTCATCATGTCCATCTAATCACCCCCAGCTTCCAATTTGCTCCCCCCTCCCCCTCCTCTCCCCTGTAACTATTCCCCAGGTCGTTGCTGTAAATGAGAATGTGTTCTTAGTCAACTTACCTGGTAAAATAAGGGTAAAATAAAATAAAATAAAACCAACCCACCTGAGTCCAGGTCACAGAAGACTCCGATGCGGTCAGGTGCGGCGCCGTCCAGACTCTTGGCCTTGTTGTTGTGCTTGGCGGAGAAGGAGGTCTGCAGCCAGTTGTTGATGTGGATACACCATGTGGTGTTGGTCTTTCCCAGCTGGTCGAACTTCCCCAGGTTCCTGTAGGAGACCCCGACGCTGTAGGACTTACAGTCTTTAAGAGCTTTCACCTCCCAGTAGTGTTGACCACAGTCCATACTGGTGTCACCTGGGGGGGGAGATTATATTAGGAATATATTATATACACTACATGACCAAAAGGTATGTGGACACCTGTTCCTCAAACATCTCATTCCAAAATCACGGGCATTAATATGGAGTTGGTCCCCCCCCCCTTTGCTGCTATAACAGCCTCCACTCTTCTGGGAAGGCTTTCCACTAGATGTTGGAACATTGCTGCGGGGACTTGCTTCCATTCAGACACAAGAGCATTAGTGAGGTCGGGGCACTGATGTTGGGCGATTAGGCCTGGCTCGCAGTCTGCGTTTCAATTCATCCCAAAGGTGTTTGATGGGGTTGAGGTCAGGGCTCTGTGCAGGCCAGTCAAGTTCTTCCACACCGATCTCGACAAAGCATTTCTGTATGGACTTCGCTTTGAGCACAAGGGCATTGTCATGCTGAAACAGTAAAGGGCCTTCCCAAACTGTTGCCACAAAGTTGGAAGCACAGAATCATCTAGAATGTCATTGTGTGCTGTAGTGTTAAGATTTCCCTTCACTGGAACTAAGGGGCCAAGCTCGAACCATGAAAAACAGCCCCAGACCATTATTCCTCCTCACGTTTCCAATGCTAAGGGGCCAAATAAAACTTGGGGGGCCAAATAAAATCACCTGCGGCCCAAATTCACCACTAATGACTATACTACGTAGGTAGTATAGTATAATAGTAATCCTTCTACCCCCCCTTTACTACCACTGTCTTTTGTCTAAACTAACACCTGCTAGCAATGACTTGTTTAAAGAAATGTACTTATTGTGATCGAGATGTAGTTGTCCCTGATTGCACTGACTTTGCTCACAGCTGCTTGTTTGAAGAAGTGTACTTACTGTGATCAAAATGTGGTTGCCCCACTGGCTATCCTAAGTTGAATGCACCAATTTGTAAGTCGCTCTGGATAAGAGCGTCCGCTAAATGACTTAAATGTAAAATGTAGTGACTTACGTGTTTGGGTGTGTCTCAAGACACCCAAATACACTATGGACTGGCTTCCCAGACACAGATTATCCTAATCCTGGACTCATTGAACATGCTGTTTAGTCCTGTGGTAGGTTTAATCAGTGTCTGGGAAACAACCCTATTGGCCTAGCAACCTGACATCCATTGGCCTAGCAACCTGACATCCATTGGCCTAGCAACCTGACATCCATTGGCCTAGCAACCTGACATCCATTATGGGTTGGTTGGTTGTGTTCACCCAGTCATAGAAATGGATCAGTTTCAGTTGACGGTTTGCCCAATATGGGAATACATGGTACATGAAATACATGTAAGGTTGGTAGTGTTTACCAAGCACAGTGATGTGTTAACGTTGTGTTTACCTAGCACAGTGGATGTGTTAACGTTGTGTTTACCTACCTAGCACGGTGTAGGACTCTCCAGTGAACCGGTCTCTGCCTCCTCTGATGGCAGGTGACCGCGTCGTTGACGTTCTCTTGGGAGACGGAGTTCCACTTCTAGAGGAAGGAAACACACTGACATCAGACTCCTGATAGGAGGACAGCTCGTAATAATGTCTGGAACAGAGAGAATGGAATGGCACCATGGAAACCGTGTGTTTGATGTACTCGATACCATTCCACTGATTCCGCTCCAGCCATTACTACGAGCCCGTCCTCCCCAACTGAGGTGCCACCAACCTCCCGTGATTACAACAGACAAGGCCACAGAGCAGAGGGAACAAGGAGAAGCCCCTCTACAGTCAGCAAGATATTCGGCTCTATAAGCACCAATCTAGCTGACGGAAGATGGCGGTTCTCCACAGTTGGTAAACTAGAAAGATAAACAAGATCCTTTGCCTGATTGACATAGTACGATACGGATGAAGCGGGTATTTGAACACTCTTCAAACAAACTCAAGCTTAGTGATGTTAGACACAAGCAGACAATGAAAATGAGTTATTGTGCTTGATGTGATCTCAACGTAAGGGACTATTTAAGGTTGAAATTGAGGGATGGAAGGATACTTCCACAGGGGCCTGGCTGACCTATAGGAGCCTGGATGATCTATAGGAGCCTGGATGACCTATAGAGGCCTGGCTGATCTATAGAAGCCTGGCTGACCTATAGGAGCCTGGCTGATCTATAGGAGCCTGGCTGATCTATAGAAGCCTGGCTGATCTATAGAAGCCTGGCTGACCTATAGAAGCCTGGCTGACCTATAGAAACCTGGCTGATCTATAGAAGCCTGGCAGATCTATAGAAACCTGGCTGATCTATAGGAGCCTGGCTGATCTATAGGGGCCTGGCTGATCTATAGGGGCCTGGCTGATCTATAGGAGCCTGGCTGATCTATAGGAGCCTGGCTGATCTATAGGAGCCTGGCTGATCTATAGGAGCCTGGCTGATCTATAGAAGCCTGGCTGATCTATAGAAACCTGGCTGATCTATAGAAGCCTGGCTGATCTATAGGAGCCTGGCTGATCTATAGGAGCCTGGCTGATCTATAGAAGCCTGGCTGATCTATAGAAGCCTGGCTGATCTAGGGGCCTGGCTGATCTATAGAAGCCTGGCTGATCTATAGAAGCCTGGCTGATCTATAGAAGCCTGGCTGATCTATAGAAGCCTGGCTGATCTATAGAAACCTGGCTGATCTATAGAAGCCTGGCTGATCTATAGAAGCCTGGCTGATCTAGGGGCCTGGCGGATCTAGGGGCCTGGCAGTGTGTAACTTTGCTGCAACCAAATTGCTTTTCTTCCATTCCATTCTATTCTGGCTGGTTGTCCACAGGGATTCCTAGGATCTCTAGGGTATTCAGGCAGCACTTGGAGGGTGTCAGCTGTGGATGCATGCATGGCCCATCTGCTGTACAGCTGATCAGGGGACTGGGGACAACAACAGGAACATGACTGATGGGCTCAGCCAATAGGCAGACAGGGAGTGACAAGGGCTTGGCCAATAGGCAGACAGGGAGTGATAAGGGCCAATAGGCAGACAGGGAGTGATAAGGGCCAATAGGCTGACAGGGAGTGATAAGGGCCAATAGGCTGACAGGGAGTGACAAGGGCCAATAGGCTGACAGGGAGTGACAAGGGCCAATAGGCTGACAGGGAGTGACAAGGGCCAATAGGCAGACAGGGAGTGACAAGGGCCAATAGGCAGACAGGGAGTGATTAGGGCCAATAGGCAGACAGGGAGTGATAAGGGCCAATAGGCAGACAGGGAGTGACAAGGGCTTGGCCAATAGGCTGACAGGAAGTGATAAGTAGCATGTTGTTTTTAAACAGGTGCATGTTTTTCTCCTTTGACAAAACAAAAGCTGATTCAAAGGGGGTGTGGCAGACATCAAAACTCTTCCTGGTAGGATACACTTCTTTGCCAAAACGAGGCTATCGAGGAGGGGAGGACCGTCTTCCGTTCGCCTACTAACGAATTGACACAGTCCTCTTATCGGTTTCCGGGTCACGGAGGAGAGAGGACGGAGGAGAGAGGTCGGAGGACGGACTATTGCCCAAACGAGAAAATCCCAGGGGAGTCTGACAAGACAAGGCCCTCTTTCAAATACCGGAAGTGGGATAAGGTAATTTGATTAGTGACATCATACAGCGGGGAAGTTTTCCTGATGGAGCTGGTAGAAGTCGGACGTAGTTAGTAGGGTCAGGGTGGCCAGAAAGCTCTCTTAGATTGTCCTCCTGTTCCTTGTTTTTGTCTGAGAGAGCATTGTGATCATTGTTGTGATCGTTGGGTCTGTGTACTTTTGGGCCAATTGTTTTCCAAGTAAAAAGGGCAAAATCAGCAACATGAAAACGGCCCGTTTTATTTTTTTTTTTATTTTTTTATTAAAAAAAAAAAAAAACGCTAAAATTATTTCTTAGTTTTTATCTCCTTTTTAAGAAATATATGAAAACTTCATATTATGATTTTCACAAGTGGGTTAAATGTGGAATGCATGTCATTGGTCAAATGCAACAGCCAACACTTTCTGTCCCTTCGAAATAGGAGTTCAACCTTCTAAGAGCACAGCGCTTGTAACGCCAAGGTAGTGGGTTCGATCCCCGGGACCACCCATACACAAAAATGTATGCACGCATGACTGTAAGTCACTTTGGATAAAATCGTCTGCTAAATGGCTTATTATTATTATTATTATTATTATTATTATTATTATTACATTTTAGGTGTGTGAGTGAGTCCGTGGCAGGCAGGAGGCGGGGAAAGGAGTGTACTGCAGGAGTGCATTTGCCCAATGACAGGCATTACACATTTAACCACACCCACATGTGAAAACCGAAATATCAAGTAAATAAATGCAAAAAAAGTTTTTTTTTTTTTTTTTTGAGAAAACACAACAAACACTAGCTGTTTTCACGTTGCTGATTTGTCCATTTTAACTCTGAAAACAATTAGCCAAAAAGTACATGGACTTCGTTGTGATTTTTGGGAACATGATATGGAATGAATGACTGGACAAATATGGATATTACAGTTTATATACTTACTACAGTAGAGTGAATTGTTACTCACCAAAACCATTTGTTGCAAGCATAAGAGAAATGAGTGAAAAATAAAATAAATACTGTGCTACTAACTGTACATTAATTCTGTAACAGATGTGTTGCCTAGGAATAGAGGTTAATTATATTTATTTAAAAGGACAAAGGGAAAATATAGAGTTTTTAGAAAGAGAAACAGTTAGTACAGATGTCATCTACAGATGGAGAGTCTTTCAATGGTTCACGACAGAATAAGATTCAATTATTGTCTTTGTTTGTGGGTGGCCGGCAACCAAAATCGAATTCCCCCCCAATTCATTAATTTGGCCTAAATCAAGAGTTTATAAAACGTTTTCCATCTGTAGATGTTTCCTTGAGTCAGTCACACACAGAAACCACATCAATATCAAGTCATTTCAGGAGGTTTCTCACAGAACAACGTTGCAAAAAAAAAAAGGTATGTAGCCTAAACTGTTCACACAAAAACCGGAAAGGGACCTGATGAGTAGAGCAGCCCATATGAAAGCGATTGTTGGAGCGTACGACCTCGAACACAGGCGGTCTCTAACTAATAATAATGTGTTACCAGGTAGCCTAACGCTACATTCAGGTAGCCTAATGCTACATCCTACAGCTAAAAGTCACACATGGTCACCTTGACATGTTCTTCAGATTGGTAAGATGAGCACTGTTGACGAACACAAAGAAACAATAAAAGCAAAAAATGGTTAAAATAAAGGTATTACATTGGAGTCATGGTGGAGTTCGCTATTTTAAAGGACGCTAAAAGAGATTCCATTCCATTAGGCACTAAATAACGCAAATCCTCCACTGTAGCTACTGGAGTAGACGTCTTTCCACGTCCAGAGACTATGAGCTATCTCTTTAGACTACTATCTCATCATAGACTACTACTATGAGCTATCTCTTTAGACTACTATCTCTTCATAGACTACTACTATGAGCTATCTCTTTAGACTACTATCTCTTCATAGACTACTACTATGAGCTATCTCTTTAGACTACTATCTCTTCATAGACTACTACTATGACTATCTCTTTAGACTACTATCTCTTCATAGACTACTACTATGAGCTATCTCTTTAGACTACTATCTCTTCATAGACTACTACTATGAACTATCTCTTTAGACTACTATCTCTTCATAGACTACTACTATGAGCTATCTCTTTAGACTACTATCTCTTCATAGACTACTACTATGAGCTATCTCTTTAGACTACTATCTCTTCATAGACTACTACTATGAGCTATCTCTTTAGACTACTATCTCTTCATAGACTACTACTATGAGCTATCTCTTTAGACTACTATCTCTTCATAGACTACTACTATGAGCTATCTCTTAGACTACTATCTCTTCATAGACTACTACTATGAGCTATCTCTTTAGACTACTATCTCTTCATAGACTACTACTATGAACTATCTCTTTAGACTACTATCTCATCATAGACTACTACTATGAGCTATCTCTTTAGACTACTATCTCTTCATAGACTACTACTATGAGCTATCTCTTTAGACTACTATCTCTTCATAGACTACTACTATGAGCTATCTCTTTAGACTACTATCTCTTCATAGACTACTACTATGAACTATCTCTTTAGACTACTATCTCTTCATAGACTACTACTATGAACTATCTCTTTAGACTACTATCTCTTCATAGACTACTACTATGAGCTATCTCTTTAGACTACTATCTCTTCATAGACTACTACTATGAGCTATCTCTTTAGACTACTATCTCTTCATAGACTACTACTATGAGCTATCTCTTTAGACTACTATCTCTTCATAGACTACTACTATGAGCTATCTCTTTAGACTACTATCTCTTCATAGACTACTACTATGAGCTATCTCTTTAGACTACTATCTCTTCATAGACTACTACTATGAGCTATCTCTTTAGACTACTATCTCTTCATAGACTACTACTATGACACTATCTCTTTAGACTACTATCTCTTCATAGACTACTACTATGAACTATCTCTTTAGACTACTATCTCTTCATAGACTACTACTATGAGCTATCTCTTTAGACTACTATCTCTTCATAGACACTACTATGACTATCTTAATACTCTCTCTAGACTACTACTATAGACTACTCTTTAACTACTATCTCTCATAGACTACTACTATGAGCTATCTCTTTAGACTACTATCTCTTCATAGACTACTACTTATACTATCTCTTTAGACTACTATCTCTTCATAGACTACTACTATGACTATCTCTTTAGACTACTATCTCTTCATAGACTACTACTATGAGCTATCTCTTTAGACTACTATCTCTTCATAGACTACTACTATGAGCTATCTCTTTAGACTACTATCTCTTCATAGACTCTATACTATCTCTTTAGACTACTCTCTTAGACTATACTATCTCTTTAGACTACTATCTCTTCATAGACTACTACTATGAGCTATCTCTTTAGACTACTATCTCTTCATAGACTACTACTATGAGCTATCTCTTTAGACTACTATCTCTTCATAGACTACTACTATGAGCTATCTCTTTAGACTACTATCTCTTCATAGACTACTACTATGAGCTATCTCTTTAGACTACTATCTCTTCATAGACTACTACTATGAACTATCTCTCCCCCATAGACTACTACTACCTTCTCTATTCATAGACTACTACTATGAACTACTTACTACTATCTCTTCATAGACTACTACTATTGAACTATCTTTAGTAGACTACACTATCTCTTCATAGACTACTACTATGAGCTATCTCTTTAGACTACTATCTCTTCATAGACTACTACTATGAGCTCTCATCATAGACTACTACTATGAGCTATCTCTTTAGACTACTATCTCTTCATAGACTACTACTATGAGCTATCTCTTTAGACTACTATCTCTTCATAGACTACTACTATGAACTATCTCTTCATAGACTACTACTATGAACTATCTTTAGACTACTATCTCTTCATAGACTACTACTATGAGCTATCTCTTTAGACTACTATCTCTTCATAGACTACTACTATGAGCTCTCATCATAGACTACTACTATGAGCTATCTCTTAGACTACTATCTCTTCATAGACTACTACTATGAGCTATCTCTTTAGACTACTATCTCTTCATAGACTACTACTATGAGCTATCTCTTTAGACTACTATCTCTTCATAGACTACTACTATGAGCTCTCTTCATAGACTACTACTATGAGCTATCTCTTTAGACTACTATCTCTTCATAGACTACTACTATGAGCTATCTCTTTAGACTACTATCTCTTCATAGACTACTACTATGAGCTATCTCTTTAGACTACTATCTCTTCATAGACTACTACTATGAGCTATCTCTTTAGACTACTATCTCTTCATAGACTACTACTATGAGCTATCTCTTTAGACTACTATCTCTTCATAGACTACTACTATGAGCTATCTCTTTAGACTACTATCTCTTCATAGACTACTACTATGAACTATCTCTTCATAGACTACTACTATGAACTATCTCTTCATAGACTACTACTATGAACTATCTTTAGACTACTATCTCTTCATAGACTACTACTATGAGCTATCTCTTTAGACTACTATCTCTTCATAGACTACTACTATGAACTATCTCTTCATAGACTACTACTATGAACTATCTCTTTAAGAGGGAGCCTCAGCCTGCAGTTGGTTTTCAATACCATTTTCTGAGAGTATCAATGCTGGAGCTTTACAAAGTATAAAATGGCTTTATCTCTTGAAGAAATGATGCTTCAACTTGGCAGACAGCGTTTGACAGACAACGCTGAAAGTGGATACCCAAGATAGGAGAGGAAGCCTTTCAATAAAACATGAGCCTCTAAAGTGTCCGGTTGCAGCTGACAAAAGGTCTCTTTCAAACTGCCCCTCAATAGGAGATCGACTACACAAGCCACCATGACCCAAAGACAGAAGAATGTGAAATCTAAAAAAGGCAGTTCAATGGTAGCCTGGTCCCAGATCGTTTTTTTTGCTGTCTTGCCAAGTCCTCTGGTCTTATTTGTCACGCTAATGTGTCGATGACCATAGGAGTTGGCAAGACAGCACAAACCGATCTCGGACCAGGCTAGGTAATGATCATAGGAGTTGGCAAGACAGCACAAACCGATCTGGGACCAGGCTATATCAATGGCAGTTCGACGTAAAATTAGGATAAGGCCCAATCCCAAATGGACCCCTAGACCCTAACCCCTAGACCCTAACCCCTAACCCCTAGACCCTAACCCCTAACCCCTACACCCTAGACCCTAACCCCTAGACCCTAACCCCTAACCCCTAGACCCTAACCCCTAGACCCTAACCCCTAGACCCTAACCCCTAGACCCTAACCCCTAACCCCTAGACCCTAACCCCTAACCCTAGACCCTAACCCTAGACCCTAACCCTAACCCCTAGACCCTAACCCCTAGACCCTAACCCCTAACCCCTAGACCCCTAGCCCCTAACCCCTAGACCCTAACCCCTAACCCCTAGACCCTAGACCCTAACCCCTAGACCCTAACCCTAACCCCTAGACCTACACCCTAACCCTAACCCCTAGACCCCTAGACCCTAACCCCTACACCCTACCCTAACCCTAACCCCTAGACCCTAACCCCTAACCCCTACCCTAGACCCTAACCCCCTAGACCCTAACCCTAGACCCTAACCCCTAGACCCCTAGACCCTAACCCCTAGACCCTAACCCCTAACCCCTAACCCCTAACCCTAGACCCTAACCCCTAACCCCCTAGACCCCTAGACCCTAACCCCTACTAGACTCCTAACCCCTAACCCCTAACCCTAACCCCTAGACCCTAACCCCTAGCCCCTAACCCCTAGACCCTAACCCCTAACCCCTAGACCCTAACCCTAGACCCTAACCCCTAGACCCTAACCCCTAGACCCTAGACCCTAACCCCTAGACCCTAACCCCTAGACCTAACCCCTAACCCCTAACCCCTAGACCCTAACCCCTAGACCCTAACCCCTAGACCCTAACCCCTAGACCCTAACCCCTAACCCCTAGACCCTAAGTGGAGATCTGAGAGGATTGGACAGGTGTAGTCAATATGGTAATAGCTCCACCTTTCCTTCTGATAGGCTCAGTGGAAGTTTCACCATACTGCTTATACCAATCAAATCCTCTCATATCTCAGTGCATAGGGCGTAGGGTGTACGGGTCCATTTGGGACACATTGTGTCAATTCAGTTCTCACCTGCCCTTGTTCTCCTTGCCCTTGACCTTGTTCTCCAGCCCCTTGCCCCCCTGGGGGTCCCACTCCACACTCCCGTCCTCTACCTTCAGGTTCAGATGGGCCGACGACGAGTCAAAGCCGAAGTTGAACGCTGGGGAGGGAATCAATCAATAAATCAATCAATCAACCAACCAACCAGTCAGTCAGTGAGTCAATCAGTCAATCATATACCAATAACGTAATAATTACATCATTGTTGATCCAAGACAACATAGGGCAACAGTCTTACCTCAGGTTTCCAGGGTAACTAACAGTGTTACCTCTGGTTTCCAGGGTAACTAACAGTCTTACCTCTGGTTTCCAGAGTAACTGGATCAGAGTATTCTCCAGCTGCTGCCTTGTTGCAAGCTCGTACCCGGAAGTTCATGAACTTGGAGTCAAACTTTAAACCTGGAGGATGAACAGCACATTATCTGCACAGGTTAATTATGTTCTGTCGGTAAACAAGCTTTCAGAGTTTGATAAAGTCACAAACGTTTAGGTGAAGCAAAGCTATATAGGTGAGTCATATTTTAAACTCAAGAAGTTGCATGAAAACACTGCAGTGTTAGCCTGGTCCCAGATCTGTTTGTGCCATCTTGCCAAGTGGCATGACAATGGCCATAGGAGTTGGCAAGATCTGGGACCTACTCTAGCTTCGTACCTGACAGTGAGTATTCTGTGGTCTTGATGTTATCCACCACCTCCCAGCAGTGTTCGTCTTTGATGCGTGGCAGTCCTTCGTGGTCGGTCTTTCTGTACTCCAGTATGTAGTGGTCTATCTTGCTGTCCTCCACTGGCATCTTCCAGGCTACGGACACCGTGTTGTCTGACACCAGACAGTCCCCTACCTCCATCTCTGGGGCTCGAGGGACTGGAACGATACAGAGAAATGGGTATTTTAAAAGACGGCAACAGATCCGTGGGAAATCATTTTAGGGTCGACTAAATTATAAGCTTTTTTGGATGTCCTCCTTTTTGGAGCTGGTAGTCCCATCCACCAAACTACCACGTGTGAAACAGGGAAGAGACTCAGGGGGTATGCTAATTTGGTATAGAGCAGACCTAACTCACTCTATTAAATTAATCAAAACAGGAACATTTTACATTTGGCTAGAAATTCAAAAGGAAATTATCTCAAGAGAGAAAAATGTCCTCCTGTGTGTAACCTATATCTCCCCACTAGAATCCCCATACTTTAACAATGACAGCTTCTCCATCCTGGAGGGTGAAATCAATCATTTCCAGACCCAGGGACATGTACTAGTCTGTGGCGACCTAAATGCCGGAACTGGACAAGAACCTGACACCCTCAGCACACAGGGGGACAAACACCTACCTGGAGGTGACAGCATTCCCTCCCCCATATGCCCCCCTAGGCACAACTACGACAACATAACCAACAAAAACGGGTCACAACTCCTTCAGCTCTGTTGCACGCTGGGTATGTACATAGTCAATGGTAGGCTTCGAGGGGACTCCTATGGTAGGTACACCTATAGCTCATCTCTTGGCAGTAGTACTGTAGACTACTTTACCACTGACCTCAACCCAGTGTCTCTCAGAGCATTCACAGTCAGTCCACTGACACCCCTATCAGACCACAGCAAAATCACAGTCTACTTGAACAGAGCAATACTCAATCATGAGGCATCAAAGCCAAAGGAACTGAATAAAATTAAGAAATGCTATAGATGGAAGGAAAGTAGTGTGTAAATCTACCAAAAAACTATTAGGCAACAACAGATTAAATCCCTTTTAGACAACTTCCTGGACAAAACGTTCCACTGTAATAGTGAAGGTGTAAACCTGGCAGTAGAAAACCTAAACAGTATATTTGACCTCTCAGCTTCCCTATCAAATCTAAAAATGTCAAGCAGAAAACCTAAGAAAAATTCACAACAATGACAAATGGTTTGATGAAGAATGCAAAAAACTAAGAAGGAAATTGAGGAACCTATCCAACCAAAAACACAGAGACCCAGAAAACCTGAGCCTACGCCTTCACTATGGTGAATTACTAAAACAATACAGAAATACACTACGGAAAAAGAAGGAACAGCACGTCAGAAATCAGCTCAATGTAATTGAAGAATCCATAGACTCTAACCACTTCTGGGAAACTTGGAAAACACTAAACAAAAAACAACATGAAGTTATCTATCCAAAACGGAGATGTATGGGTAAATCACTTCTCCAATCCTTTTAGCTCTATAACAAAGAACAAACAGCAAAAACATAAACATGATCAAATACAAATCTTAGAATCAACTATTAAAGACTACCAGAACCCACTGGATTCTCCAATTACATTGAATGAACTACAGGACAAAATACAAACCCTCCAACCCAAAAAGGCCTGTGGTGTTGACGGTATCCTCAATGAAATGATAAAATATACAGACCGCAAATTCCAATTGGCTATACTTAAACTCTTTAACATCATCCTCAGGTCTGGCATCTTCTCCAATATTTGGAACCAAGGACTGATCACCCCAATCTACAAAAGTGGAGACAAATTTCACCCCAATAACTACCGTGGGATATGCGTCAACAGCAACCCTGGGAAAATCCCTCTGCATTA